TATTAATTATATAATAAAATTAATTAATATATAAAATAAATATATTAAAATATTTATAAAAATATATTTTATAATTTAAATAAATTAAATAAGATTAACAATAATAATTTTATTAATATTTTAATAATTGTTAATAATTAATTCATATTTAACTTGAATTTTAAATATTAAATATTATAGAATTTGTATTATATAATTTAAAAATATATTTTTTTGAATATTTCTATTTTTAAAATTCTTAAAAGATATTATTTGAAATATTGTATTACAATTATCAAATTTTTTAATACTATTAATATATATATATATATTTAGTTATTATGATTTTTTTTGAATTATTATAATTTACTTTAATTAATAAAATAAAATAATAATAATAATAATACATAAATAAATTATAACAGAATTTTAATATAAATTTTCAATATTAAAATTATTCATTAAAATTAATTATAATAGTAAAAAAAAATATAGCAATTATTGATAATTTTATATTATATATTTACAAAAAATTAATTTTCAATTGTATTAAATATATTTTGATTTTTTGATTTTAATTTATATGATTCAATGTTTTTTATATTTTTGAATAGATATTTGTAATTGTTTAATATTATTTACTTAGAATTTAATTTAATAACAATTTTAATAATGGTATCAAATTATTTTATATTTTATATACAGTATATAAATTTCAAATGAAAATAATATACAGTATATATATTGAAAAAACGATTTACAATTTATAAAAAAACCATCAATATCATAACAGTAAAAGAATATACTGCATACAGCAAGGAATAATTTTATTCCAAGAATATCACAAATTTGATAATCAGTAAACACCTTTTTTTAAATGTGCATTATATGTACCATATCCAGCATGTCAATCATCATTTTTATGTTACCATTAATTTAAAAAATCTTTTTTTTTTTTTAATTTTACATTGATAACATCATTAACAAAATATGTACCGCGACTTTCCTTTTTTGTTTACATCAGGTATATCAGGTAAAAAAGGGTTAAATTGAAGATATTAGGTAAAAAAAGCAAAAAAAAAAAAAAAAAAAAAAAAAAATTTTTTTTTCTTTAAACTACAATTTTTCAAAGGTATTGTGCGTACCAAAATGAATGTCCTTAATTTTTGGAAATCCATTGTACTGTGTATATCGCAAAGATCGATTCGTAACCTTATAATAACAAAAAGTTTTATTGATAAAAAAAAAAAATGCGTCTGGAACCTAATTTAAAGTCACTAATCATTTTGACTAAGCTTACATAATCAAAAACTTGACCGCCGGTCTTTTGACAAAAAGAAAAAAAAAAAAAGCGGTGATGAAATGTTTACCAATTTTCTACTCCTGAAATAATGCAAGTTAAATGTCGCAGATCGGCTATGAATCTAATGTGAAAAAGTCAACTGTGGCTTCCAATGATTTGAAGATTTTTTTTTGAAGCCGAAAATTAAATGGCAGAATGATATTCATGTTACCTTCTTACGTTAATTGTATTTTTTTTTTTTTTTAATTTCGTCCCGAGACTCACCGTAATGGTAGTTTAATTATGTACCCGATCCCAGCTTACGAATCAAAACCTTCTATCAAAAAGTTTTTTGGCGCGTATCTCAACTTCACAATATGTTCACTAATGGTCGTTACTAATTTCGGGTTGGGCCAACAGTTATACTCTGTTTCACCACATTAATGTTTTTTATTAATTAACAACGAAAATGTATTCCGCTATATACAAACGCAGTTGATGCGCGTCATTACGTAAGGGGCATTTAACAAATTTGGAACTTGAGGCAGCTGGTTACAGGTAAAACACAGGAAGGTGCTATTTATGCTATACCGATTACATTTTTTTTTTTACGGCGCCAGTCAAAACCTGATATTATGAGTTACCTGTTCAAAGTCTTGTAATCACTTTTCTTTCATATTACCTTGCCTGCTTGTATTGATACATAACATAATCCAGTCGGAAAATTTCTCGACGAATTCCATGTGCCTTGAACATTCTTACTTTACAGCCTTTAGAGTTCAGGGTCCACAGCTGGAACGAGGTTGCATCGTTAAAATCAAATGAAAATCAAGCAGTAATTAATGTAGTAGCGGTGAAGAGAACGAATGTGTAAACATTAAAGGCGTAAATATTAAGGCGGAAAGAATACGGGTTTCAGGAATGCATTATAATGCATGGAATATTGCACATCATAATTTGATATATTCGTGGTGCCGATCTTATTTAAAGGAGAAGGTTTTCGTGCACGCAAATAATAATTAAGAATAAGAAAAGTGATTATTAAACTTTTTTGTTCATTCCTCAAATTTGTTTCAAATGCACGCGGTATAGGATGGGATTGTCTGATGTTTTATAATGTTTACGAGGCAACCATGCCAAAGCATCATCCAACGTTCAATGATTCTAAGTCCCAGCGGAATTTCCATAGAATAATAAGTATTTCAAGATTCCCAAAGGGTGTCCAATCATGCTTGACCGATGAAATTAAATAATAATACACGAATAGAATAAAAATTGATTCACCGTAAAACCATGGGCCAAGCCAAAAATCCATAAAAATTCCTACTTCACGAGATGTGGCGTTTTTTTTTTCCTGCGTTGTTAAAAATGTGTACTCATATAAGCACAAAGATTATATGTGCTTTGCTGTTTACGTCTGTTTGCGTACACCCTTTTATTGTATACAGTTTGAATGATCGTTTTTCTGGAGAAACGAAACTCTCTTCCTTGCACGTAAAAAAAGTCTTTGGAGAATTGCACATGTAGCACATAATTTGCCAGCGTTATAGTTGTTAAACTTTAATGGTGTTTGACCCGTTTTTACTGGACGCCTGCACATGCATAACAAAATTTAAAGTTAATATGTACTGGTTTTTCATTCATACTGTAACCGTTCTATGTCAATGACCTTTAAAAACCAAAGCAGCTAATGCAACAATAATCACAATCATACCAGATATTGGAAATGAGGGATTTTCTTCTTTTTCTTTTTTCTTTTTTCATATTTTTTTTTTTTTTTTTTCAATATTTTTTTTTTCGGATTCTCCTCCAATTGAATTTCCTTCCGAATTTTGGGGGATGCTATTGTAAAAAGGTGTTTTGTTAATTAAGATTGGCCAGATTGCACAGGTTAACGTTAACCTGAGTTCAGCAAGAATGCGCATAGTGAACATTGGCGAATAAAGAAGCGAAAAATACTTTGGATTTGGAAATGATGTTCATATTATCATATCATGTCATCTATTATCTTATAAATATAATCTTGATTAAGAGCTACAAGGTAAGACAATAATAGATGCATGCAATTTTCGAATTTTTCAACATTCTTGTAATACCAAAGAAAAAAAAAAAAATCCAGCAACACAGAATAACACAGAATAACACAGAATGAGTACGCAGTTATACCAAACGATTTTGATACTAGTTACGACTTCATCTAAAAGATCAATCGACAAATGCTTCCGGATTTTCATAGGATTGACGATGAAAACATGATAGTGATCATTAATGAACCTTAACACCATACAGAAGAGAAAGCGAGACATATTTTTTTTTTTTGTGTAGTTGAAATTGCTTTATTACAAAATAATAATAATACTTTTTTATTTGTTACTATACTAACTCGCGTGCACTTGTCATATTCACCGACCAATATAGTATACACGAACTTTTTGGATACTATATTAAGTTAGGTCGGCTATGATTCAAAGATTGTTGTTACCTAATTTTTTGTCAATCCTTTACACATTAGGTACGAGAAAAGACGGCACGTGATATCGTAAAATTTCCCGATTTTGATCGTACAAGTATAGTAGAAAAAATTTTTTTGTGTTGTTGTTTTCATGTGTCAGGTAATCGGTAGATGCAAGATTTTTTTCGCCATCTCGAAATTTTGTCTTTTTTGATATGTATTTTTTTTTTTTGAAATTTTTTTTTTGGGTGATGATGAATTTTTTTTTTTTTTAGAAATCCGATGAACTACTCCAGTCGCATTCACTAGAATCATCGTCGCTCATCTTGAGCCTATATATCCTTTTGCTATTGTTGTTGTTATTGTTGGGTTGACTTTTACAATCCTGTTCACATTCCTTGTCGATACTTTCGATGTCAATTTCTTCCTCACTATCACTCTCACTATCACTTTCCTCTTTCTTGCTGTTGGTCTCCAGACCCTTTTTGTCATCGGATCCCACCTTCTCGTTAGTTTTTCGATTATCCCTTAGAGGTTCCTTGATTACCGGGAAGAAAACCGCATTGTCTGTAGTTGACATTCGATAAATGTATAAATATTTGATAAACAAAAGAATAAATTTGTAAATTGGTGAGACCTTAAAGGATAATATGGTGGCAATCCAGATTGTACACAAGAAAACAAGATTTTTTTTTTTTTTTTTTTTTTTTTTTGATCAATAAAAAAAAATATATCAAAATTTCATAAATAAATAACTGACTACATACACCAATGAACATAAGCCTCCAACTGTGTAGAATAATTGTCAAAATTTAGGTCAATAATGCCGATCCAAAAGTCGAATTGTGGTTTCCCCAGCCACCAATCCAATATTAGGCTAATCTGTGAAAGTTGTGAGAGAAGTATTGGATCGTAGACAAGACTTTCGTTATAGTGTTGATATGGATATCGATATTCCCAAGGTTGCCGCCATATCGGCGTCAGGTACATTTGATTCTTCTTTGACCACAGATCATTTATGGTGTGAACGTACGCCGACAGGGCAGTGAAATCAAATATTCCTTTGGCATAGGGTCCTGGAAGGTCGATCAATTTATCGATGATCTTGCCGATCTGTTGTAATTTCGGTTCCAGGCATGCCAACGCTGGAATGTCGTCGGTGGTGAATTGGAGGTCTCTTATTTGGTCAAAGGTTTGCAGTAGGCTATAATACGGATGGTTCTCGTCTTTGATGTCTTCGGAGCGAAATTCGTCTGGCAGATATTTCAGCTTCCAATGACGATGAGGTAAGTCGGCGATGGTCCACGCTTGATGTGACATGTTTGTTGAGGTTGTGCTAGAACACAAGTTTAACAGTAAATCATTAAACACCGCAGGATTTGATAGTAGCGACCTTTCTCCACTGCCCCACTTAGGTTCGGACATTTAACAAGAAAAGAAAAGGTGAAAGAGAAAAGTCGGTGAACCAAAAATAAAAAATGATGATGAATAATAATAATAGTGGTTTGTCTTCTGCGTTATCGATGAGAAGAAGAAGGTCAACGGTGAAGAAGGGGGAAGGTTTAGAAATTTCCTAGGGTCAAATAAATTTTTCGTTTAGAAAAACTTGAAATTTCTGTAAGCAGAGTGCCTGAAAATCCTTAAATTTATATTTGACACAAAAGTTACACGACAAGTTGCACAATCGGAAGCGTCGCCTAACAGGCAATTTTACTTATGCTTTTGCAGAGCAACAAACGCTTGGGGGGCTTTGAGGTTTATGCCCATGTGGGGCATTACTGCATTGTGATCTGTGGAACTATATATTAACCATTTATGTACAGGTTACTATTTATCATCCATCATACGGAGAACTGTTAACAGCGAGTAGTAGGTGTATTTAGTTTACAGCCAGCCGACCAGTCAATTTTGATTCACTTTACGTAATTTCACACACACAATGTCTTTTTTTCTTTCTGAACGAGCACATTTCCTACTCCGATTTTTTTTTATTAAAAAAAAAAGAAAAAATACATCCCGTATATAATATACATAATATACATGAATAATATACGAATAATATGATTGTTTGTTATTTTCATTGTCATCAATTTATCCAGAGTTTTTACAATATCCTTTTTCAAATCTCAAGGTCTCACGACAATTAAATGATTTTTAGTTGGAGCATGAATGAAAGGGATTTTCAAAAAAAGTTTATCAACAGATCATCCATCCGTCGTTCTTCGTCCCCTACCATTGGTCACTTAAAGATCGTGTGTCATTATTGTTGAGACCTGGAATAACAAGTTTATTATATTTAGCATATGAACCTTCTCATTTTCATTAACTCTTCAATGTTTAGAAAGACCGACCAAACAGTTTTGTTTTGCACGCCTCACGTATTCGCCCAACTCGGCAAGATGGATGTGCCCAATCGCAGTCTCGATGCGGACGCTGGGAGGTTGTCACATGATTGAGAACCGTTTCCATTATTATTAAAATCAGCAGGGCTTAGGTGAAAGTAGATGGACGGTTGAGAAGCCAAGCCCGATTCTAGCCCGAATTGTTCGTGTAGTAATTGCAGTTCTGAGCTATCCAAAATTTTACTTGCTGAACCGTTAAAATAAAGTCAAACAGGTTCTCCACCGGAACGAAATTTGAAAATCATTTGCACGGGAAGATCGAGACCTTCCAAACCGAATGATGTTCCTGAAATCTTTTGGGGATGATGGTGAATCGACGAAATGAAAATGTTTCTCACTTGGTAACCGGAATGACCATAGCATCATGATTCCTTGGATGTCGTCTGTGTGTGTCGCAAGTTCAGGTTCGGTGGAACAGGTCGGTTGTAGATCTCTGGATGTTATGTTGCGTTCACGGCATAGGTGCATCGGAATATTCACGTGTGTGAACCTCTCTCTCTACCGTAATAATGGCAAGCTATTTCTTTTAATTATACGGTAGATGCTTTAGCCATCCTTCTTTTATTCTTTAAATTTCTCTTGTCCTTTTTTATTTTAGCTTGCCGTTACGTACGCAGCAGATTGGTTATCATAATAGTTGATATTGTTGCGCCCCGCCATGATTCATTTTTGGTTAGCCGACTACCACTCTTTCACGGGAAACTCAAAGTTCCAAGTCTTCGTTCCGTGTAACCGGAATTCCCTGACGACAATGTTTGGGTGCCACAAATAAAGATTCGTCAGTTCCAAAAAAAAATTCCGACCGATGGGATTTTCGGTTACTTGCGTGCTTATTTGGGAAATTCTTATACTTGTCAAACACGACTACACTTTTCAGTTTATTTATTTGATTGTTGTCAGACGCTTGTCAAGCGACCATTGCCAATTTCTAAATTAACATGAGCCATTATTGTGCGTAGCAAGAAAAATGACAATTCATTCTTTTGTTGCCGATGAAAAGAGCTTTGGACGAATGATAATAACCGACAACTCGAACTTGTATGCAATTTTTAACGGGGATCCGTGATACAACCCAAAATCACATGCCAAAAATTTCTCTTTCTAAGTTATTGTTAGGAAAGTCATGCACGCTAATAAATTGTCAATCCCAAATAAAGCAAGCTTAATATATTGAGGTAGCCTAAAAATAGAAATAAACATTGTATACACACATACGCTTGAGGTTAAAAAACATAAACTTTAAGGTCACATCCCACCAGCGGTTATGCTTAACGAAACAAAAAACAAGATGCAAGGGGAATACCGCTATATGCGTGATGCGTTCAATTCGAAAAATTCGTGCGACACACATTGCGGATGCCTGCTGGATCCCCCCCGGTTCTTGTCGTTCCCAGTAACCTTGGAAACGTCCTAACATTGCGGTCGGCTTTTCGTCGTATATTATGCATCGGTCAGCGTATGCTGACATTAGCAACTTTCCCCTCCACTACCCGATTGAGAAGTCTCGGAAAAGAAATTCTTACGTCGTACCACCAAGGAATACAATGCTGAATTAGGAATCCACCTGAGCAAATCATTATCGCGCACGCGTATTTCCAATTACACACGTGTATTACCTATTACGCAATACGATTACGCACTTTGCTGCGTGAAAGAGATCGAGTATAAAAGGTCGTGATACCTCACTTTTTCCTCGAACACGGCGTATCGTAACGAGAGAACATTCGTGAAAGACTTTATTTTTTTCATCAACGTTCAAGTCCGGTACTTAATTTCGTTAGTTTTACGTTGTTGTTTTTTGCTTTTGTGGGTGCAAAAATCTTCATGGTGGTTAGATTTTTTCGAAAGGGTGGTGGCATTGGATACAATTTTTGTGGTGTCGACAAGATTATTCGTTACCACAATGGATTGGTCAACATTCGCGGTGTCTTATTAATGAATTTCGATTCTCATTTCATGTATAAAAATTTTTCATTGGTTAATCGTCGAACATCGACCTCCTTGCGATTTAATGGATATCCACGAATTGAATGCCTTGACAAAAAGTAAGTTTTCGATTGGTTCCCTTGTTCCGATCATTTTTTGCGTGAATTGAAGTCGGAGGTTTCGTTGATTTCGTCGGGAGGATCGAATCAAATCATCCATCAAGGTTTAACAACCCATTAATTATCTCCATCAATTGTGTCCTTAGCTCGGGTCTTTCTTCAATAGGGAAAGGTACATTGAGTCCCATTGATAATAGTGTCATAGAATTTTCCTAGTTTTAACATCCAATGTTAAAACGTTCCTATTCGTCACCCGCCATCTTCCATGTCGTAATCGATCGACCAGTACAACCTCTACCTTTTCATTCTTCATCCAATTGAAATAAAAAAAAAAAAACGTAAATAAATAATAAACAAGTAAATACATCTATGTATTCTTTTTTTAAAAAATGATTCTTGAAATAGAGATTTGTGAAGAAGAAGATAGCACACAGATGACAATCAAGGTCTCCAAACCAATACCCGATTTTCCTACTTACGGACTACTTCCGAAAGAGGTATGATTCACGATTAACCTATTCTATCTGAATTCGACGATTGGATGTTTGTGTTCTCATTCGGGAACATCAATCGCGACGAAAGGAAACCGAGGCTTCGACCTTTTTGAAAAAGTATCCCGAATATGATGGTCGCGATGTGGTCATTGCTATACTGGACACTGGAATAGATCCTGGTGCTGTCGGTTTGCAGGTACTGTTCGGCATCACCAGTTTTATTTTATTTTATTCTATTTTTCTTTCTTTTTTTTTTTAAAGAAAAAAATTATTCAAGTATACTCAAGGAGTACTCGTGATTCCTAGACCACAACCGAGGGGAAGCCAAAAATTATCGACATCATTGATTGCACCGGCTCCGGTGATTATCATTTTCATTCCAAGCAACTGATCGCACGATTGTTTTATTCGCTTTTTTTCCTCTGATGATTGAATTTTGCCCATGGTTTTCTTTTTTCTGGAACCTTGATTTGACGCGATCCTTCAAGGCGATGTGATCACAAAGACTGTGGTGAAACCCACTATCTCGGATGATGGAAATGAAACTTTGCACACGATTCAAGGTTTATCAGGACGTTCGCTCATAATTGATCCCACCTGGAAAAATCCATCGGGGGAATTTCGCGTTGGTATAAAGCGAGCATACGAACTATTTCCAAAACCCTTGGTCTCCAGGCTGCAAAAGGTAATTTGATCCGTGCTTGTCTTCTTTGCAAGTCACTATTTCAATACGGAAATAATGAATTAATCATACTGTCTCATATAGGAACGTCGACAGGAATTCGATAAGAAGCACCATCTTTTTCAGGCGGAAGCGCAGCAAAATCTTGCTGCATGGCAGGAAGCTCATCCATCATCTTCATCTTCATCTCTATCAGAAACCGATTCTGATGTCAAAGCTGATCTTGAAGCGAAGGTGGAGCTACTTAAGGATTCATTGAAAAATTACAATGACCCTGGTATAATTTTGGACATAGTAACATTTTACGACGGAGCTGATTGGAGAGTCGTGGTTGATGTTGATGAGTCTGGTGACCTGAGAGGTAACATTTCCTCGCCTCGGTTTACAATTTTGTAATCAAAGATGATTGATTTATTCGGCGGTTTGCTGATTCGTAATTCATAGGACAACCGCCTTTGACCGATTACCGCAAGGAAAGGCAGTATCATACATTCAGCCAAGAGGACATGTTAAATTTCTCTGTCAATATTTATGATGATGGAGATACCGTTTGGTAAATGATTCATTTGGACTTTTCTGTGAACACTAATTTACAGGTTGACTAACTTTTCGGTTTTAGCATTGTCACCGCATCCGGTTCTCATGGAACTCACGTCGCCGCCATTACTGCAGCGCATCATCCAGATGAGCCGGCGCTCAATGGGGTACTTTAAAGATTCCTAGTGTATCAATATTAAGTTAAATTTAGTTAGTTAAGTGCATTGTGATTGCAATTTTTGACCTCCCTTTTTTCTTAAAAAAAAACAAAACCAGATTGCCCCAGGTGCTCAGGTACGATTCGCGTAATTTCCTGCGTTTGTTTAGACACATTAAATTAAATTTGCGATCTCACGATTTTAGATTGTCTCGCTAAAAATCGGAGACAATCGTTTAGGTAGTATGGAAACAGGTGCTGCACTAGCGAGAGCTGCTATCGCACTGGTGGAAACAAAAACCGACGTGGCCAATATGAGTTATGGTGAAGCAACTGCTGTGCCAGATTATGGTCATTTTATACGTTTGATTCGCGACGAAGTTGTGGGTAAACATGGTTGCATCTTTCTGAGTAGTGCCGGGAATAATGGACCTGCGTTGAGCACTACTGGGTCTCCCGGTGGCACTTCTAGCGGTATTATGTGATTGGTTATTCAATTGTACAATATCGACCTTCTCTTTATGCTAAAATACTTCCAACATAATGCAGGTATTATTGGTGTTGGAGCTTACGTGAGTCGTGCGATGGTTCAAGCTGAATACGCACTTCTCGAATCTGTCCCTGAGCGTGCCTACACATGGAGTTCTCAGGGTCCAACTACCGATGGTGATATCGGTGTCGCGATTTATGCTCCCGGCGGGTACGTCTGAGTGGCAGAATTCTTAAACCGGATCTCGTGCGTGCGTAAACCAAAATACTAAATTATTCTTTCGTTAGTGCGATCACATCCACCCCTCTATATTCGTTGACCAAGGCTCAATTAATGAACGGAACTTCCATGTATGTGTCGAATAATGTAGTGCTTTCATTCTTTTTTTTCTGCTTTGTCACTGTGTCTGACTCGCTCTCTTGTTAAATCACAAAGGTCATCTCCAAATGCCACGGGATGTGTTGCACTACTCTTATCAGGTCTTAAGGCCGAAGATAAAAAGTACACACCTTACCGAATTAGAAATGCTCTTGTAAATAGTGCAAAACCAGTTAATGAGAATTTTGACGTGGGGCTTCTTCAGGTTGAAAAGACTTGGGATTATCTTAAAAAGTTTTATGATCGACCCGATCAGGACGTTGTTTATGAGGTAACATACTCCCTTCTCTGTATCAAGCATCCACTTTTCTCCATTGATATTATCATATAACATTTATTGGACTCATTGTTTTTAGGTTAGGATTCCCGATAAGCCAAAGGATAAACGTGGTATTTACTTAAGAGAATCTTATGAAACTGCAAGTCCACAGTTGTATAATGTTTCGGTTAAGCCGAAATTCATGAAAGAAATTGAGCCCACCTCTGGTGAAAATAACTCAAAGAAATTTGAATTCGAGAGTAGGTTGGCTTTGATTAGCACGCAACCTTGGGTTCGCGTCCCGGATTTCTTGTTGTTGGGTAGTCAAGGTACGCTTGAATTTATCATGAGATGCGGTGCGCTTACATAGTTCATGTAGTTTCGAATAATTCAATTGTACCTTCTTTATAGGTAGGGTGTTCGAGGTTAAAGTCGATCCTTCCCAATTGACACCTGGAGAGCTTCACTTTGCAGAAGTTCAGGTAGGGTGTTGTCATTGAGTATTGATGTTTGTTTTACTTGCTGTTGTGATCTGATGATAACATTGCTTTCTTAGGGTTATGATACAACTTGCTCGGAGCGGGGTCCTCTGTTTAAAATACCGGTGGTTGTGACAAAGCCGAGCATCATAACGAACGGATCAAAGATTACCTATGATAACTGGGCATTTGGGCCTGGGCATATTGAGCGAAGATTTCTTAAAGTTCCAGAGGGCGCCACCTATGCAGGTATTTCTTATTATATTCATGAATAAATCTATTTCAAGCAGACGAAGTCAGAATTTCGATTAAATTTTTTATTTTTTTTTTTCCTTTAAAAATTTCCTTTAAAAAGATGTGACCATCAAGTTTTCGTCTAATTCACATACCTCGCCAGCACGCTTTTGGTTACACATGATTCAGTTGCTACCACAAAGACGTTTTACAAACCAAGAGCACGAATATTACTTTGCTCTGGCCAAGGGAAGCTATGGAGATGGAAATGGTGAAGAGCAAATTGAGAAAAAACGATTTTCAGTGCGTGGCGGTGTTACCATCGAGGTATTCGTTAATGAAGTTACTTAAAGGCGAGTGAGTATTTTAATTCGCGTCTGCTGACCATTTGTCACCATTTAGATCTGTCTCGCACAATTTTGGTCTAGCCTTGGAAATCACAATGTTTCTTTGGAATTCGTCTTCCACGGAATTCAAATTGCCAATAATACGACCAATGGCGGGGACACCGTATACATTAATGGTGGAGACTCTTATACTCGACTAGATATTGTTGCCCCTGTTCGACGGGAAGATGAAATTTATCCCTCGATAAGTTTTGGTGATTATCACTTTATTTCATGTGTAAAAAAAATCGATATCTCAAATCAACGATCGCTCATACGATATGTGACAAATGCATTGTAGATACTCTTCGAAAAACGATTCGTCCAACCGAGTCATCTTTAAAACCTCTTGGTTTGGATCGCGACGTTCTTCCAGACTCAAGGAGAATTTACAGTCTTACACTTACTTACAAATTTAGCACATCCGAAAAGAACACAAGCATCACTCCAAGGTTCCCTGCCTTCTTTGGGTTATTGTATGACTCGTATTTCGAAGATTTCTTTGCGATAAGTAAGTGTGTTCACAAGTTTGCCGTATGTTTTGTGAAGCGATCAAATTTTTATAAATTTTTTCATGTAATAATTACATTGGAACCGAACAGTTTACAACACGAATAAGAAGGTCATTGGATATTTGGATATTTACGCAAAGACCTTTAAGCTTGAGACCAAAGGAGATTATGTCATTTTGGCTCAAGTTCGTCATCAATCTCAAGAGCTTTTAGAGAAGTTAACGAATACCACCTGCTTTTTGGATTATACCATCTCCAAAAAGGTTAGCTTGGAGATATTCGGAAAGCTATCCGATGTTTTTGTATTCAAAAAATCTACGCCAGTAAAGAGTTTTCTGGAGAAAGGTGAAAGGCAAGCGTTCTTTGTTGGTTCACCGAATGATTATTCGGTTTACCCTAAAGAAGGTTCACCCGGGGACCTGCTGCTCGGAAAATTGAACTTTATAAATTCCGCAAAGATTGATGGGGGCCAATACTACGCGAATTTGGTGATCCCACCTGCTCCTATTAAGCCGAAATCGAAAGAAGAGAAACCGACTGAAGAGCTTGCGAATGCGATCAGGGATTTGCAAATATCACATTTGAAAAAATTATCCGCTGGCTCGGATGCCCGCGCCGAATTGCTTAAAGAGTTGGAAGAAAGTCATCCAGACCATTTACCACTGTACATAACGAAACTAGAATTACTCTTGGATCCCAGTGCCAAATCTGATAAAGGAAGCGATGACGAGAGTGCTACGAGTAAAAGCGGAAACATGACGCCAGAAACGGCGAGTAGTATTTGCGAAGCAGCGGACGAATTATTGAAAAAGATTGACCTGACGGAATTGGCTCAATATTATGGAGTTAAGCAAGAAACCAGCACCAATGAGGCAGCCGAGAAGAAGAAAAAAGAGAATGACGAAAAGAAGAAGGCTGTTGTGTTGGCTTACAGAGCGAAAGCGCAAGCGTTGGCAGTACTTGCCGACGCCAATCCTGATTCATTCTCCGTAATCGGAAGTTCCTCAACTCCCGAGGCAGACAGCGAATCCAATGAATTTGCCCTACAATTCGAAAAAACCTGGAAAGCATTGGCCCAATGGTTGGACTCCACTCCACCGATATCAGATTTCAAAAATCTCATGGTCTATATTACACGGGAGCGACGAGCAAAGCGATTTGGAAGTGCGCTTAAAGCATTAAATAAATATTTAAGTGATACCGGACTAAATGGAGAAACCGCAAAAGATTATGATAAAGCGTTAGAATTAAAGATTGAATTGTTAAAGGATGTCGAATGGAATGTTTGGGAGACATACGAGAGAAAATGGAAGCTCATTAGAATTCCACCCGGTGGTCATGCACCGTTCTAAGATATTTTAAGAGAACAAGAAAGATACGAGTTAACCGCACAATCAATTTTTGGAGACAATAATCGCATCACCAAGGATAGAATTTCGACAGATTAGAAATGAGGAGTTATAATATCCTTATGTATAGTTATTTTTATTAACGACAAAATGACAACATTGCATAGATAGTAATATTTAACGTGTTTTGTAGACAGAATGTTAAGGAATTTCTTTGTAATTATCTAAGTAGTAGTGTATAATGTTAATGAATTGAATTTCTAAAAATAATTGGAACTTGTCCGCATATACGGACGGATAATGATGGCTTGTGATTTCCGTTTTCATTTGAAAAGCGTCACGTATTTGATGATTCTCTGAAAACCTCGCGTTTACTAATGCAAGTATTTGCAAGATTTACAATCCTTCGTAAGCTTAAATGGGTATTTAATTTACATGTTAGCCGCTAGAACTTCCCCAGTTCCCATTAGTCGCGTACTGAAGTTCATAAAGTACAACGAAAACACGGATGAGAATTTAAACTGTTTATTTATTTATTATATTAGGTACGGGCTATCCGAATGCGACTACGCACTATGTAACACTTCATTTTCGTTCTACGATCTTTTTTACACGCCAACACTTTGTTTACGCGCGCTAATCTCTTTCATCGCATATTTACATACGTCATTCTGTGCAAAACTTTCACATTACTGTATAATTTTTACGTAGCGAGGCATCGCCTCGTGTCGCTGGCCTCGCCTCTACCCACAAAAATGTAAAGTCTAGTCAAAAATAGTAAAGATAAAGATAATTTTTTTGTTGTCTATAGACGAAAAGCAATAAACAAGAAAAATAATATCAAATGATAAAATAGCAATAAAAATAAGTAAATTAATGACAAGACTTTACGAATAACAATCATCCACTAAGCGGTATAACTTGGCGGTTCATCATCCTCAATACTCTCTAATTCGCTACTCAACCTTCTGATAGCCTTTCGGGGAGCTTTCCCGCAAGATTCCATGTAATTCATAAATTGATCAGGTATCTCTTCAAGTACGGCTCCGGGTAATAGGTAATGCGAAGACCTCGACTCAAAATCTCGCATGGCTACAAATTGCACAATGTCTCGTTGCATTTTGATGGTGCCCGAATTTGGCGATTTTTGCTGCTTGGAAGGGCAAAGAAACAGAAGGTCAAATATTCGTTTGGAAACAAGTATCCAAGTAAGGCATACTTCTTTGTTACTTACGATCAACGGCACATTGTCAGCATCTAAAATATTCATATTGGTAAAATCGGCATCTCCCACACCAACAATGACTATCGACAATGGTAGCGAACTTGCTTTTATTATTGTTCTTACCGTCGAATCCATATCTGTTTTCAAAGGAATGAGTAGAAGAATGAGGATGTTGATAAGAAAAAAGATTTTCAACAAAGAACACATGTAATAATACCTGTTATCGCACCATCTATGTCGACAGAATCAGAAAAGATAATAATGGTTGAGAAACCTCATCTATTTACATGAGAGAAAAATCAAATGCCTGGGCTGTGTGGCCAGTTACCTGTGATTATCAACAGGATGTAATAAGCATCATTATTTCCAGATTCCAGTTCAGTCTTAATTTTCTCAGCAGTTAGGCTTATTACCTTTTACACAATAAGAAAACAACAAAGTCACTTACAAAGCTGGATAAAATGACAAAAGTAGAAAAGATTTATACCGGTGAGAAGTTTGTGGGTCCAAACAATTCCACATTTTTCATCGTTCTGAGATATACGTTCAGTATACCATTCACACCTTCAACTTCGGGCTAATCACAAATGCGCGTGAGATGAATATAATTATTGTTTTATTTTTTTAAAAAAATAAAAAGATCCTACCTTCAGGTAATCATCATTCAATGGATAAGCATGCGATAGTTCCCCGTGGAACTTTCCACCAAACCCGTAAACCTAAAAAATTCAAAGTAAATTTAGCAACCTCATTTAAGATTAATGCGCAAAGGAAGCAGAATACGCACCGAAAAAAGTCTGTCACGATCGTATGCTTCTAATCTAGATAATTTTCGAGGTTATAGAAATTAACGAAAAATCCACCTTTCTAGAATCGCGAAATTTCGACCACTTACATTTTTCCAACACTACTAATGGCCCTCTGGTAATCGTTCGGTTCAGAACCCCGAATATAATGCAAACTCCTTGGACTCCTTGGATTACCATTCGACGACGTAAAATCTATGGCAACTACCAAATTTATTACGGTGCCGCCAGCAATGTAATCGAGAAACGTGGGTCGTTCCTCTACTTCAGCCTTCATAACACGTAAGGAAGCATCCTTTCCGATTTTCACAGAGGAATTGGGTGCAGGCTTGATGGGAAATATTTTATCACCGGAGAGCAGTTCTCTGAGAGTTACAGAGCATTGGCCATGTACCGGGTGGTCTTCTTAGAGATGCCAATTCATTTAGATTAAGATTTTTGTTTTTTTTTTTCTAGATAAAACAAACGTCCCACATTCAGCTTACCGCCATTCTTCTTTCGATTTTTCACTTCAAATAATAACGCTCGATTAACATCACCGTTACATAGTGTGGATTCTTTAACTGCGTTAAATATGCAGAAAATAAATTTCGAAGGTCAGCAATTATACCAAACCACATATAACAAGCTAATGCATACTCTTGAATTCCGGCCACGACGGATTAATCGAAGAAACCTCGGTGGATTCGTACACAGGTGAATGTGTGTTATCTTCGTTTACCCGACTTAGCGTAAAAAATAAATTCGGTTTGTTTTTTAGGAACCCCTTTAAACATTTAAACATTCAACGGAGAATTGTAGATAAAAAATGTGAAAAAGTTGGTTGGTTGATCAGAAAATTCAAGACAATAAAATAAATAAAATAAAATAAAATAAAATAATAAAACATAATAATAAAATATAATAAAAAATTACCTTTATTCCCACATCATGGGCATCAAATCGAAGCCTGAATTAATCGTGCAATAAAATTTAGGATAAATCATTACTCCCCAAAAATGTAAGTTAATTAACATTTACATACGTTATCTCCCTTCTAGAATCGCTCAGCTCCTCAGCGGCGATGATTAGATAGCCACGCTTCTTTTCCGTATTCTTTCTATCGTACAATCTTTTTTTAACTTTTCCTCCTGGGCTACCCACTGATTATGCATAAAATTGAGCAAAAATGTCTGACATCAAATTCAAAATTTAACACGAACAAACTCATACAACACCTATTGAACCGAGGTCACAATCACATTGTCCAACGAACTCTTGAACCTTCCAGTCCGGATTATTATGCTTATCTACATCCACTACAATGAATCTAAATAACGGTAGAGGTTTTCAATAAAGATGTGTCAAATGAAAAAGTCGTCTTCAATTATCATTTGTTACCTGAGTTCCTGTAATTCCTCGAATACATAGTTCAACACAAAACCTTTGACAAACTTGGGGTTCAAATTATTCATCACCACCTCAGTTTTGTGAGGAGTTTCTTCCCACTTTCTCGTTTTTTTATTTTTGGACAACAGTATTACTTGTGGATCACTCTTTGAAAATACATCTAAATCCGACAATTCGGTACACGACATTTTCAGCTCGATTCTAGAATGAGAATGATGTTCTTTCAATTTCATTTTTTTTAATCGCGGTTAGGATGAAAGAATTTTGATGTATGATAAGATCTGTAAAAGACAAGGCGTCCTGTAAATATAGTAAATCCCGTTGATCTATTAAAAATATCTTGGGGCGAATTTTTATGTTTATATAATCTCAAAAACAATCGCATGTGTTGGAATGCATGAATAAATGTGATTATAAATGGCAAGAGAGAGAAACAATAGCGAATACAGTAGTTTTTTTTTTTTTTAGAATTCCATCGACGTCGTCCGTAAAGGTGTGCTGTATTCTGAGTCACACATACTATTTTCGATGTAACATCTTTAAAGACGAAAGAAATACACAAAAAAAAAATAAACATATATATAAGTGAATGTGTACCAATATCTTGTTAACAAAAGGAATGTGTACAATTAATACTACAATTAATATTGGGAAGATCCACATACAAAGTATGCAACTGAAAAAAAGAAATTCTTTTTTGAGCTAGCGTTCCATTCTTGATCTTGTTATGTAAATATGTACACAGAAGTAAAATTCACGCGTTCTCGATGGATACATGATTTTTAATATCAAATATTCAACCAAATTATTTTCTCCCCATTTCTACTTTCTCGAAAGTTCAAGATGAACGCTCATTAATTTCATATTCCCTCTGATAGTTCTACAAAGTGATAAGAATATTTCGTAAGAACGTGCTTTCGCCTTTTTTTTCTTTTATTTCATCGTCGATTTTCCCTCTTAACCATTACATTCGAAATTATATACTATAAGGTATTGTTTAATTAATCAAAAGAATTACATAATACATCTATGTCGAAAGCCACACAAAGGTTCGTAGAAGCTGCGGGGCGCAAGGTTATGTCATAAAAAAGGTACTGTATATGAGAAATCAAAAACCTAGGAAAAGTGGGGCGCATGACTAAGCCATTACCACAAACTTTACGATTAATAATAACACATTGCATTAATGACAATCACATTGTACAGTATTAATAATCTCACGCCATATTAATTATTAATCCGCAAATGTAACATGCAATAGGTGTAAAATTCGGAACTTTACCCTTCAATGATATATTCAGTATACGCTGTACATTTAAAGCAACAAATAACTGCAATGTTTAACACATTTTGCATTTAAAAAATAAAGCTTTCTTTTTTTAAATATTTTGTTTTTTTTTTAAAAAAAAAAAGGTGATCAAGTCATATTTTGTTGATGGCGATTTTTGGTAATAAGTTGCTATCTTCATCTCATTGTTTATTTACAGTAAAATAATTTTGGTTGTCATTGTCTTTCTTAATTGTATTTATGGCATGTAATAATTACGCCGATTTAAATTCAATATCAATGATTTGATCCAATTTCAATAACCATTGAATAAAAATTTAGATACAACGCAATATTCGCGAACATCTGTATACAAAGTATATTCAAAAATCTTTATTACTATAATACATAACATCATGATTATCACGTTAAAACATCGATTTATATAAATTTATCAAAATTGCATATATATATATATTGTAATATAATCAAAATAATTTAAAATACAATTGCAATTATTAAAAATATGTAATGAACTGACGATAAATAATATTTATTAAAAAAATATTCATAAAAAGATAAATTAAATAATCAACAAATAATATAAAACAATAAAATATTTGATATGTTGTATTTTGTTTTTTAAATAAACAAATTATGTTATCTAATATTTTGATAATTGTAACATGCAATGCAAGACAAAAATAATTAATAAAAAAGAAATTATTATTTTATCAATACTTAATTATCATAAAAATATATGCACGTGTATTTAAAAATAAAAAATCGAATTACATTAACATATTAACATATTATTATTAAAAATTATTTTTAGCTTAATATTAAATCTCATACTTTTTAATAAAGTTTTTTTAATAGTAAAAAAATATTTTTATTATATTATTAAAAAAAATACACTGTTATTTTATCAATAATTAATTAATTTATTTCTAAAAAATATTGAAATATTTATAATAAACTATAAAATCAATAATTTTATATTATTTTAAAATTTTTAAAAAATTACAAAAAAATTATATAACATTAATTTATATTTAACTAATTGTATATCAAAATAATTTTAATAATAGATTGTAATTATTTTTTTATAATAAATATAAAGACTTAAATTTAAATTATTGATTTTTTTTAACATGATTTTATTTTTATATTTTTAAATAAATAGATATGGTATATTTTAATTAATTATTAATATTAAATTTTTAACTTTTTTCTTAAAAATTTCCTTTTATAATAATTTTTTTCAAATTAAAAAAGCAAATATTTTTTTTGTTTTTTAATATTCAAAAGCCTTACACATCTCTTTTATCTTTATTACAAAAACTTCAAGGAAACTAAAAAAGTATACTGATGTATCAGAATAAAACCTCTAGCCAAGAAAAAACAAGTTTAAGGTTCTTGCTTTCTTCTTAAATTGCATAAAAAAAGATCTATAACAATTCTCTTTTCTTTTGTTTTCTTATACTTCTCTTCCTTTTTACTATATTACAAAAATTATCCATATCAATATTATTAAATTTGCTAAATTAAATACTTTTCAAAAAACATACTTAAACAAAGTTATTAGATTTATTGTTTGTTTTAATATAGCTTTTATATATAACTTTATCATGATACTATTTACTGTGTTATTTCAAAATTTTAAAAAATTGAAATCAATTTATTTTTTTAAATAATTATCACTTTTCAACAGACAATCAGATTTTGTTTAAACAATAAAGAAAAATCAAATCTATTCAAATCAGTTTTTTAATATAACAACAATAACTACTATTATCACTACAACAATAATTACTACTATAGTAACAAATATTGTCAACTATATTCTACTATTTATATCAATAAGAATCATGTTTTTAAGACTAACACCAGTGCAAAAGCCAGATTATTGGTTATCTTTTAGATATTTTTTATTTATATAGATCTTATAATTTAAGTAATTCAGTTTTGATTTTAATAATCAATATTATTATAGCCCCAGTTTTTTTTTATTTTCAATTTTCTTTATACAGTAGAGAACAAAAAAAATTAACATCTCAAATCATATTATAACAAGCGAACTACTGCATCAGGCAATGTGTAATTTACAGCATAGATAAGTTAAGTCTTATTTTATTATCAGTTAAAAAATTAGTATAATATTATTTCGCCATTTCTCTCGATTACCTCTTGACATCTCCACTCCATTGACATTATCAAATCTTTTAAAAGTCAGTTGTGAATTTTTTCCCATTCTTTGACCATATATTCTTCTAACTCATCCAAATTACTCAGCATATGTTTCTCCATATTTCTCTTGATCATGGCCCATAGGTTCTCTATGGGGTTCAAGTTGGAACTGTTAAATGACCAGTTAATAACTTTTGGCATACTTTTTTGAAGAAAAACCTTAACGAGGTGGCTCGTGTGCTTCGGATCATTATTCTGCTGCCACTACCACTGAGTACCAAGCATCTCCTTCACTTCAAGTATGTGCTCATGAAGAATATCAACATAAAACTTAGTGTTCATTATCTCTTTGAAACAGTGCAAGTTTGATTTTTCTCTTTCAAAAAATCCACTCCACGCCATAATCTTTTTATGGTTCTTTTGAATAGAACTGTTTTTTCTAATTTTTTGATATTATAACAGATTGTTCTGATGAAAATCTTCGTCATTGCATATAATTCTTGGGCGTTGTACATTCCCTCATTTCAATAATACAAAAGAACTTCACATTGACTCTTTTTTCTTGCAGCCAACATTTCATTAGCATGTTTCGACTATAAGCTGAAACATAATAGAATGTGAGAAGTTGGGAAAAAAAATCTTAAGTACCTGTGACCTTAAAACAAAATGTAAATCATTATCAAGTTAGTACAAGAACGTATTACATTAAATTTAATCACATGAAAAATTAGACAATTTTTTTTGTCCTCTACTGTATCTAATCAAAAAATTCTAAATAAGTAAGTATAACTGCTTTCAGCTATATTTAATATATATAATATTGTATCAAACTTATATAATATCAAGATAAGTTATTCTTCTTTTTTTTACTTAAGGCATGAATTTAACTTAGATAATCTTAAAACTATAATTAATTATTATCTTTTTCTTATTATTTTTCCTGAATAGTTCAAGTCACCATCCTCTTTAGTGATTTCCAGAATGATCTTCTCATAACAACATTACTTTAAAAAGGTAAGTTAGTTAATCACTTTTTATTTTGGATATCTATTATTACTACATATAATAATTTTTAATTAATATTCAATATTGTACAACTGTTTTATACTTTCTTTCTCATTAGGTAAAAATGTGTATTAAAATTGTTATTTGTAAGATTGAGATTAAAATTTTTGTCACAATTGCTTCTCTTGTTTCACACTTTTACACTTCTATTTATATGTCTATCATTATTCTAATATGCTATATAATTATTTTTGCTATGATTTATAAACTATTGCACTATATAAAAATAAACTATTTAAACTTTTTGTAATGTTATAAAATTATTTGCTAAATGATTGTCAATATATTGATTAGTTATGTAATGCAAAAGTCATGTTATATAACCTTAATTATATATTTTCTTTGCTAACAATATATATATAATAAATTCTTTCTAAATATATATTCTTCAAAATTATATGAAAATTTTTAAAAAATGTATATTTATAAAAGTACCAAATATAAAATATTTTAAAATTATTACTTACTTTTAATAATTTTTTAATTTAATTTTTTGATTATTTTTTTATTTGATTTGTATATAGCAAAGTATATATTATAAAAGAAACAATATCTCTTATATACAGTATATAAGTAATAAATTAAATATTAGCTTGCCTATATATATTTAGTTAATATTGAAAAAGAAATTCAAAACAATATTATAACTAGCTATATTTGAATGGT